CAGCTCTTTCCGGTCAAACATCGGTCTTCTTTACCTCTCCCTTTTCTTTTACTTTAGATGTTACTCTTCAGTGACACCTCTAATGTTTGGCACTTAAACGACCTATTTGTGGGAGATTGGCGGGTGTTCTGGTGTGGTTTGCTCCTTCTTTCCTATCAAACATCTATCGCCCTTCTCTCTCCTCCTCCGTGGGTGGTTGGCGGTTGCCCTGGTGTGGTTTGCTTCTTTTTTCCTATCAAACATCTATCGTCATTTCCCCCCCTCCTTCTTTTTTATATTTGTTACTCTCTTGTAACACCTCTAATCTTCGGCACTTATATGACGTTATTGTGCTGCAAATGCCGTAAAACTCTTACTAAAACTAAACTTAATGACCTATTTGTGTTGCAAGTGCCGCACAATTCTTGTTAAATCTAAGGTAAACTAGAACCGGGGATGCTGCACTATGGCGACCTCGCTGGCCTTGTGACAGACAGACACTGTGTTGGTTGTTGGCGGGTGCTCAGGCGTGGTTTGCTTCATCTTTCCTAGCAAACACATATCGTCCTTGTATCCCCCTCCTTTTTTATGTTTGTTACGATCTTGTAACACCTCTAGTCTTCGGCACTTATATGACCTTATTGTGTTGCAAGTGCCGTAAATCTCTTACTAAAACTGAAACTGATACTGCCGCCGACTCGTTGTTGGCTGTTGTTCTGTACATAGAAAGCTGTCTGTACGGTAAGAATAACGTGCACTTTTGAGGTGACGTAGAATGTTCGTGGTGGAGTCGCTAATTGGAGGTGTGGTTTCATTTTTTTGCAAATGTTAGGAGTGGTTCCGGAATTCCATTTAGAGGCATCTGTCTCTCGAGTTCAACAACAGGTCTTTATTTTTAGATGTCGCGAATGGGTGGTTGGCGGGTGCTCTGGTATGGTTTGCTTCTTCTTTCCTATCTAACATCTATCGTCCTTATCTCGCCTTTTATGTTTCTAACTCTCTTGTAACATCTCTAAAATTCTGGCGCTCATATGACCTTATGCAGTTGTGTGCGCCGTAAAACCTCTACTAAAACTAAAACTCCCCCTCCTTCTTTTTTGTGTTTGTTACTCTCTTGTAACGCCTCTAATCTTTGGCACTTATTTGACCTTATTGTGTTGCATGTGTCGTAAGATTCTTACTAAAACTAAACTAAAACTAAAAGATGTCGTGATCGCAAGTTTTTGTTTGGCGGGGTTGTTTAGAATTGTCCAGAACTATCTCGGGTATCTATGTATTTCTCAGGGGTGCCAAATCTCGTTTTTTCCCCGGCTTTTTTAGGGGATTTTTTTTTTCAAACATTATTTGGCATTTCTGAATAAGTAGGCCACTGACATAAGGTCCTTCTTCTCAAGACAGAAATAATTTTATTGGAATTGATGCAACAAAGGCCACACCTCCTTGCATGGCAACGGAAAGGGGGAGAGGTAAGAGAGATGTTTTTGTTTTCTCATTAAAAAAAACAACTTTACATGGTTCGTTTTAGGCGAGATGTGATGCTCCGCTCATTTTCAGTTTGTGGCTCTTTTTTTTTTCAAAAATCATTTTTCGTCTGATTTCACGGGTTTTTGTCCAGATGTTTCTATATCTCGAGTTTTGCGAGTGTGGAGATGGGTTTTTCCGGTTTTCGTTCAGAGAACAACATCTGTGTTTGGTAGCTTTCTGGTGTGTCCATTG